TTTCAAAGGGGACACAGCCCCATTGAATATTAACCTATGGATTAACTACATCATCGTTTTTATCGTTTTAATGCCATTTTAGACCAGACAAAGAGGAAGGTAAGCCTAGCGCATGTTAGTACCTAGTAGGGCTGTGCAATTAATCGTATTTTAATCGCGATTACGATTATGGCTTGCGACGATTATGAAAACAGCATAATTGACAAAATACGATTATTTAGCTGGGTGCGCTTCGCCCCTCCCTAAAAGCGCAAGCGCAGATGTCAGAACAAGAGCAGCAACTCGTTAAAAAGAAGGGTACAACTATTTCCACTATTTGGAAGTACTTTGGCTTTCAGGAGTCCGACGTGGAGCAAAACAAAGTACAGTACAGGATTTGTTACCAGGTTGTGTTTGCACCACACGCTAACACAACCAATCTCTTTAATCATCTGAAATACAACCACAAAGTGCAATACGACCGGGCAGTAATACAACAAAAAGCAGACCAAAAAGCAGATGCCGCTCGACTTCATCCACAACATCATCACAGTCATCGATTCAGGACGCATTGTACAGAGCAACGGCCTACGCGACGAGCTCGCAGAGACAGAGATATTACAGGTGCCATTACATTTCACATCGCTAAAGATATGTGCCCAGTTAGCACTGTTAGCAACGAGGGCTTTAAGCAACTTGTCAACACGTTGGACAAGCGTTACGCGATGCCGTCTCGGTATTATTTCATTCGGTATTATTTGACAAATGCCGTGGGGAAGTTGAGAGAGATGTGGCTTCAGCTGACTACTTTGCCACCACAACGGACCTATGGTCTAGCCCAGGGGTGCCCAACCAGTCGATCGCGAGATGTGTCTAAAAATAAAACAACAATATTCTGTTTTATCGTTAATGTCCTGTAACATAATCTTCCTGTGCCAGAATAATGCACTTGAATGCATCAAAGCTTTGTGATTGGCCGGCGTCACCGCTGTGTCGGGGCGTGGCTGAGGGTCTTCAGTACAGGTGGCAATATTGTCACCTGCCTGCGCTCATCTCTGAAACCAGACCATGTAAACAGCCTGGTGTTTCTTGCAAAAAATCTTTAAGAGATTACATGAGCAGCCCTACCAGCATTTGCCATGGTGGCCAAAACATTTTTATTTGGTCTTAAATTGTAGTTCAACATTTATTTCCTGTTACTTTTGGACCATGACGGTTGGCCAGCCTTCAACGTTTAACTGAGTGGAATATGTTGAATATGTTTTACCAAAATGTTGGCTATATGTTAAGGAGTGTTCAGTAGGTTGTGACAGTGCACTGCAACATGTTTGATTTCATTTATTTTGGTCTAATTTATTTTTATTTATCATATTAATAATATATGTTTAGTATGGTTTTGGAAGTGCGCTCCAACATATTTGTTGATCTTGTTTATTGGTAAAATATTATTTGTTTTAAAGTTCAATAAATGGTCAATGAATAATCGTCAAAATAATCGTGATATCAATTATTGACCCAAATAATCGTGATTATGATTTTTGCCATAATCGCACAGCCCTAGTACCTAGCGCCACTTGTTTTGATGTACGTTTTTGTTGATAACCTCGCGAGTTTGTATCTTTCAGTGTTGAGGTGAGCACCGTTAGATTCTGTGTCTTTACGATCATAAACAATGTGTTGGATGTGGAGCTAGGATAAGTAATAAGGGAGCTAGGAGTGATTTTCGGTGCAGTAATAGGTTAGCATTTTTCGCTCTGGGCTAATTCAGAGGCTCACTGTTAGCATTGTGGGGTTTTTTTTTTTAAATAAATGAAAATGATCAGTTAAATGAGTTTGTTCCCGTTATATGGATATAAAATATTCATAGTTTATTAAATATTAAGGTTCCTTAGACGTCGTTTCCTGCAAATGACGCGATTTCGGGTCCGTGGGGCTAAGAGGATAACAGAGTATGTTTTATTTATTTTTTCACAACAGTTGTATTTGGATGGAATGAATACCTATAGTGATAATTCAAAGTAATAAAATGATTTTTACAGTGAAAAAGTTCAAATGGAACTGATGGTTCCCAAATTACCCAGAGGTCGCCTGGACTTTATTTTTCTAAACCTCTCTAAAAAGGTCAAATTTCACTTGTTTTGCATCAATCTTGATACAGGGTACTTATATGTTATAGTTTGGATTCCTACAGCTTTTAGTCTATAGTCTACTCAGAATCAGACATGATAACGAAACTAAGTTGTACTATCGGCGGAAGCAGCTGTGAGCGATAAGCCAGGTGGAAATATGTTTGGCCACTCTGACGTCACGCGACGCCATCTTGCGGAGACGAGCGGCTGAAAAATAAATCGTCGGACTTGGTGTTGGGGGTTGAACAAAATAGATATTGCGCATTGCCAGACGCATATTATCTCAGATTTTAATACTGCAATATCTTAGATAGTGTTGTAGCTATATGATTTCGATTTTACTGGCAATTATAAAAAAAATCTTTGCATTTGATCTTTAAAGTAGAGACACTACATACTGATATACACCTGAACATCAGCAGGAGAGGACTCTTTAAAGTAGAGACACTACATACTGATATACACCTGAAGATCAGCAGGAGAGAACTCTTTAAAGTAGAGACACTACATACTGATATACACCTGAACCTCAGCAGGAGAGGACTCTTTAAAGTAGAGACACTACATACTGATATACACCTGAACATCAGCAGGAGAGGACTCTTTAAAGTAGAGACACTGATATACACCTGAACATCAGCAGGAGAGGACTCTTTAAAGTAGAGACACTACATACTGATATACACCTGAACATCAGCAGGAGAGGACTCTTTAAAGTAGAGACACTACATACTGATACACACCTGAACATCAGCAGGAGAGGACTCTTTAAAGTAGAGACACTACATACTGATATACACCTGAACATCAGCAGGAGAGGACTCTTTAAAGTAGAGACACTACATACTAATATACACCTGAACATCAGCAGGAGAGGACTCTTTAAAGTAGAGACACTACATACTGATATACACCTGCACATCAGCAGGAGAGGACTCTTTAAAGTAGAGACACTACATACTGATATACACCTGAACATCAGCAGGAGAGGACTCTTTAAAGTAGAGACACTACATACTAATATACACCTGAACATCAGCAGGAGAAACTACCCATGTTTAGAAATAATATTCAATAATGTGCTGTAGGGTGAATATATTTCAACAAACACAGACAGTCAGGCATATTTACGGCGCTCCAAATTGAATATAACTGACAATGTTCCCGCAGATAAGTGTTGTTGGGGTGAGATGGAGGATCAGAACCCAGCAGGGGTTTGTTAGCGGCCAATAATGGCGGAGGATCAATCATATTCACGTCTTCATGGCCTGTTGGGTCCTAAATGTAACTCTAGGACAGTAATAATCAACTAAAGTGGCCTGAGAGTTGGCGCTGGATGGATATCGACCATTTTCTAATGAACAATTAACTCCTGATGGTTATTTGTTTGTACTTTCATGTGAATCAGGTGCCAGAGTACATACACTGAACAAAAATATAAATGCAACACTTTTGTTTTTGCTCCCATTTTTCATGAGATGAACTCAAAGATCTAAAACATTTTCTATATACACAAAATAACCATTTCTCTCAAATATTGTTCACAAATCTGAAAAAAATCTGTGATAGTGAGCACTTCTCCTTTGCCGAGATAATCCATCCCACAGGTGTGGCATATCAAGATGCTGATGCTGAGACGGCATGATTATTGCACAGGTGTGCCTTAGGCTGGCCACAATAAAAGTCCTGCATTCAAAATGTTCCTCAAGTGAAAGTAGAAAATATAGTGAAAGTAGCGACAGTAAAGTAGTCGTTGTGCAGATTGGTCCATTTCAGAATAATATATATGATATGTTTTATAATGATTGATCATGAAAGTGTTCTCAAAGCTGGTGAAGGTGCAGCTAGTCTGAATGACTTTGTATACTGCAGGGTAGCTGGTGGATTTACTCCAGGTGGAACTAAAGTCTGATTTAACACTTGATTAGATTTCACATCCTTCATCCACATCTGTAAAGTAACTAAAGGTATTAAATACATGTAGTGGAGTAAAAGTACATCATTTACCTCTGAATAGTAGAGGAATAGAAGTACACAGTAGCATACAATGGAAATACTCAAAAGTGTACTTCAGTACAGTACTTTAACACCACTGCTGGATTTAAATCAATAATAAAAGGCGCTTTTCCGCCTGTTCCTCTTTTCTGTCGGCAGATCGCTTTGCCCACAGCCTTCCCTTTAACTGCATCCAACGCCCTGCACCACCGTGCTGTTTGCTACCAGTGATCGATTAATACTGATAAAAACAATTTAAAAAATGCAATTAATAACATCCAATTATACTGTAATGAATTATTACATGGCCAAAAATTATTGTAGTAAGAAAGGATTAACAAATAGGAGGATGCATGATGTTTATCTTGCAGGCTAATCATGCATCTTGCTAGCTAGTATCCCCAAAACTCCACACCAAATCCCATTAGAAAATATGACAATTTAACATAGCATGGCCCTACATCAACAAAAAACATTTTATATCATAAAGTATGACTTACATGTTAATCACTATAGACTGCTGGTGAATACGGCATGAGTCCTAGCCAACATGGGGCATTTAATCTCAATAAATCTGTAGCAAAGCTGCACCAAAAACGCCCAAAACTGTGGATGAAAACAGGCTTTATATGGAGGAGATACGTGTTTAGAAATCTAACTGTGATCCAGATGGTTGTGCTCATTGTCTGATATACATGCCGATGTGTACAACAGATGGTATAGATTCATAATATGTAAAATATTATGTGGTAACAAGTGTGCATAAGCAAGGAAAATATAAAACATTAAATTCACAGTTTTATGGATGAGGTTTGGCGAGGTGATGCTAGTGGGTGTTTCGCATCCGCTACCATTAAAATAGCTATAATAACGTGAACAAATGCATAGGAAACTTACCGAGAACAGCATTGAGTAGATATTTAAGGTGAATTTGATGAAGTAGTAGAAGTGGTTTGTTTTCCTTAATTCAGAATAGGACGGCATGGCTGCTGATGCTAACAAGCTAGCGGTTAGTTCAGGGAAAATGATAATAACGAAACATCAAATATTCCTAATGAAATGGAATACGATTTTTAACAGAGCTAGCTGTTTTTTATATATATAGCAGCCCTCATTTCCCACATACTAACGTTGGTAAAGACCGCAACAATAACCATTTCCGCTTGGCCGGAAAAACATTCCACGCTTTGTTTTGACTACCGTCTTAAAGGGGCAGTGAACACATCATCACTATCTAATTGGATTAGCATGATGATGTTCATTTACTAAATACAATTAAAATACAATACATATATACAAATGAATAAAATGGTTAATATAGAATAATTTTAAATATCTTTCTCTATGTTTGATATTAATACAATAATAATAAAATATAAGAATATAAGACTATTAAAAGTAAAACAGACATTGAGGTCAGAAAAGCCTTGTATCAGCAAAACAGGTGTGGACCTATACATGGTAATATGCAGCTCATAGATGACATTTTAACACTGTGTAACAGCATATAGTCACTAAAAGACACAATATATATTTAATTACATTTGGTTTTCCATCTGTTCATGATTACTAGCTTGAAACTTGAAAGACAGAGGAACATGCTTTGAAAATAACTAGTAAATAAATTATTTACTGGGGTTCTGCTTTGACCTCGGAACACAGCTAATCCCTGTTTCTTCTGGTTGCATCAGTTGTTGTTGTTGCCACCCCTTGATGGATATATATGGCATCTGGTGACGTTACTCATGTTTTCACAAATAGGTTAATGCACTTGGCCGTGTTTACCCAGGTGATCATCAGCACAGGTGTTTCATCTTCTGAGATGTTCTCATAGAGAGATATAGAAAGAGATGCATCTTGTTATTTAACTTACTGTTAATATGATGTGTGGGGTGGAGGCGGTGTGAGTGATGTCATTGTATTCATACTGTTTTAATTGGGGTCAGTGGTGAGGTGATGTTAATGAGGTAAGTGTATTTCTTTAGGCTGTGGTGGCTGACTGCAAACAGTGTGGCACCATCATCAGGTTTTCTCCAAAGACAGAGCATCATAAAGGTTATTTTATCATCTCTAATCCACTTAAACGTTATGAAAGAGGGCACCTCATCATGTTGTCACCACTGGAGGTGCATCTTAGGGGGCATTTTATCAAGATTTCTTAAGTGGAAGGGCACCATAGTGGACAATTGATAATGCTGTCTCCACTGGAAGGACATCCTATGGAGACCTTTATCATGTTTTCTCCACTAGAAGTGCATCTCAGAAGGCATTTCATACAGTTGTTTCCACTGGAAGCACACCTCAAAGGGCACTTCATCATGTTTCTCCACTTGAAGTGCATCTTAAAAGGCCCTCCATCATGTTTTCTTCACCGGAACGGCACCATAGAGGGAACTTGATGTTTTCTCCATCATCTCCATTGAAAGGGTATTGTTACGGCTGTATGTATTCCCTGTTTCTTTTTCCCTTTGGTTCCTCGACCCAGGTGGGCTGCATTGCTGTAACGAGGTTCAGGCGAGGTGCACATGGAGAAGGAAGTGCTTAAAAGCTCCAGTGCAGCAGCAGAAGAGGGAGGCCTCTGGTGTGGGGACCGCTGTGTTTCTGCCTCTCATCCTAGGATGGATACTTAAACATTTGATGTGTTGATTATAATAAATCCTATGGATTTGATGATTTTAAAAGGTGTATTTCGTGTTCTATTTGGGTCAGTGGTGGAATTGTGTTAGCCCCATTTGGGCCATTTTAAGGGTGGGGCATAACAGGTACCTTGACCACCACTGCACTCAACATGCCGTTGGGCAAGACACTTCACCCTAAATGGTTCCTGTTGGTATTGTCCACAGTATTCAATGTATTACTAGTACTATAGAAAGACTATAGAATTGGAGGGATGACACCCTCTTTAATGGTCACACATGCAGAGATGTGATAAGTAAGGCGCTTTGAGCACTTGGAAAAGCGCAAAAATAAATAAGTATTTTTTCAATGTAAAGGCATCATAAAAGGCAATTGATAAGGTTTCTCCACTTGAAGGGCACTCTTGAAAGGACAATTCAAAAACCAATTTTCATCCACAGGATATATTGTGTTACCATGCACTGTAGTTCCAATGCATGCTGGGATTACATCTACTGTAGTCCCATGAGATCATGAACAAGACAAAAGCAAATAAAGGAATGAATGATCATGTGCCTCTCAGTAAGACCCACATTTCAGCTTCTCAGTAAATTAATTGTTCTTTGTTGAAGGAACTAAATCCGTCACCCCTGTGCACGTCCTCATGCCATTACGCTGGCAGCAAGCCATCTAAGAGTCTCACATCTTTCACAAATAACTGAACTTTAAGTTTCAGTGGGAGGTAGGACAACACTTAGCTGAGCTCCTGAAAGCCAATCAAAATGGAAAAGGTCAGAAATAACCTTTGGATATTTAAAAAATGTCTTCATGTGTCTGGGCCTCGGAGACAGTTCATATGGACTGAGTTTATATTCAGGAAGCAGCTCATTTGTTCTGTTAACTCATCTGAATCCTACACTTCCTTTGCCAAACTCATAGCCACACACACAGAGAGGGGCATAAATAGTTTTCATTAAAAATCTCATTTGCAATTCCCATCTTGGCAATACAGAGGCAGCTCTCAATGATGCATACCAATTTTCCGTCTTGACAGAATGAGATATTTCCGCTGTTTTATCTAGCTGGTTAGATTGAGTCTGATTCCCACTGCACACAGCAATGCTAATGTAATCAGTTCTATAAAACCACTTGTCATTACTCGTTGGCTTTGTAAACATTACTTTTTCATCAGTGGAGATGAGACCAATGAGGACGTTTCCAGAGAGACAATTATTGACTACTGGACATCGTCTGCTGATGTGGTGAAACTGTGTAGGGGATATATTATGTCCTGTAATCCATCAAAAAGTGTTTTAGCATCTATACTTGTTATTATGACTGTACACTACTGTCGCTACACTAGCTCTTCTTAGGTCGCTAACGCTTTACAACGACCCAAAACTCTTCCATCAGGAGAAACGTGCTGCAGCTTCAGAAACAACGCAGATATAAAAACACAAATGTTCCAAAAACACATGAAGAAACGTCTCCAGCAACTTGACAACACATGCAGCGTTTAGAGAACATTCAGCAACTTGAGGAGACATGCAGCGTTTACTAAAAGCTGTAGAAACCAAGAAGCTCAAATACAACGGAGACCAGGGGACACTAAAGAGTGACGCACACAGCAGGCAGACCAGGGGACACTAAAGAGTGACGCATACAGCTGGGAGACCAGGGGACACTAAAGAGTGACGCACACAGCTGGGAGACCAGGGGACAATAAAAGGTGACGCACACAGCTGGGGGACCAGGGGACACTAAAGAGTGACGCACACAGCTGGGAGACCAGGGGACACTAAAGAGTGACGCACACAACTGGGAGACCAGGGGACACTAAAGAGTGACGCACACAGCTGGGAGACCAGGGGACACTAAAGAGTGACGCACACAGCTGGGAGACCAGGGGACACTAAAAGGTGACGCACACAGCTGGGGGAGCAGGGGACACTAAAGAGTGACGCACACAGCTGGGAGACCAGGGGACACTAAAGAGTGACGCATACAGCTGGGGGAGCAGGGTACACTAAAGAGTTACGCACACAGCTGAGAGACCAGGGGACACTAAAGAGTGACGCACACAGCTGGGGGAGCAGGGTACACTAAAGAGTTACGCACACAGCTGAGAGACCAGGGGACACTAAAGAGTGACGCACACAGCTGGGAGACCAGGGGACACTAAAGAGTTACGCACACAGCTGGGAGACCAGGGGACACTCAAAAGTGACGCACACAGCTGGGAGACCAGGGGACACTCAAAAGTGACGCACACAGCTGGGAGACCAGGGGACACTAAAAGGTGACGCACACAGCTGGGGGAGCAAGGGACACTAAAGAGTGACGCACACAGCTGGGAGACCAGGGGACACTAAAGAGTGACGCACACAGCTGGGGGAGCAGGGGACACTAAAGAGTTACGCACACAGCTGGGAGACCAGGGGACACTAAAGAGTTACGCACACAGCTGGGAGACCAGGGGACACTCAAAAGTGACGCACACAGCTGGGAGACCAGGGGACACTCAAAAGTGACGCACACAGCTGGGAGACCAGGGGACACTCAAAAGTGACGCACACAGCTGGGAGACCAGGGGACACTAAAAGGTGACGCACACAGCTGGGGGAGCAGGGGACACTAAAGAGTGACGCACACAGCTGGGAGACCAGGGGACACTAAAGAGTGACGCACACAGCTGGGGGAGCAGGGGACACTAAAGAGTTACGCACACAGCTGGGAGACCAGGGGACATTCAAAAGTGACGCACACAGCTGGGAGACAGGGGGACACTAAAAAGTGACGCACACAGCTGGGACGGAGCGCTTGGTAACGTTCAGGATTATAAAATTGAACAACTGTCTCTGTTGTTGGATTATGACTTCAAATGTTTGATGGTCTTATTTTAACAAAGTGATCACACGACTCCTTCTGATGTTACTGCAGATCTGCTGTAAGCTAGCTAGCTAACGTAGCTAACCTAGTCATTTCAGATATACTGACAAACACTTCCAGTTATGAGACACACTAACTCTGCCAAAAGTAGGAAAACTTAATAATGTGTGTGATGTACTTTCTACTGAAGAGAGGAAGGGGACAGCTAATTTTATATTAAAAGTGTGTTTGCGGCTCAGGAGTTTTACTGCATATGTGAAAATGAGTTGTGTGAAGCCTTTTGTGGCTCCAGAGGGAGCTACATAGAGTCTGATAAACTGGCTGAATTGATGGTGAGTCAGTGTCTGTTGAGTGTAAAGACTACAGGTTTTAAAATGAAAGGAAATATGTCTGTAAATGGATTCTGTTTTACTACGCTTTTTCTGTCTTTTGCGACCTCTCAAAGCCCTTTTTCCACTCTTGACTCACAGTTTAAAGTGGACCTATCATGCTATATTTCAAACATATATTGTCGGGCCATACATATAAAACATGTCTGTAGAGTTTTTTTTCAAAATACCAAACAAATCATGCATTTTAGCCATGCCTCATTTCACTCTATTTGCTCTTTCCAGCCCTGTTTTTGTAGCTGCGTAACAGCTCAGAGAGGTAGGGCGGGGCCATTGAGGGCTTTAAAAGTAAATAAA